TATATATACACCTGTGTCAAACACACATGGAGCTTTCTGAGTCTGTTTTGCTCTGTTATCACTCTAATCATTTCTTAACTACTCCACTACTTGCAGCAGAAAAAGGGAAGGCAGCTCAGGGTTTAGGTTATTAGTGAGCTGGCAGGCTGAGTTGAAAGCTTATGGCAGTTATTTCACTTGTAAAGAATTTCTGCAGGTGCAAAATGTGTTGGTTTCTCCCACTTATACAGCAGAAATGGGTTGATGTCTCACCCAGGGCCACTACTTTGGCAAAAACAGCTGGAACTGTCACACAGTTTCACATCAAAAGCACCCCAGAGGCCTTTTGAGCAAAGCAGTTCAGTAATGCAATACGATGCATCCAAACACGGGCTCGTGTGCAGCTCAGATCAGCCTCTCTGGATGCGTTTAAAGCTCAGCAGATACGGTATCGTGTTGCAACACTTAGTTTGCTGCCTCACCAATAAATTTCTCTTTTCAAAGAAATGCTTTCAATGTAAAAACTACACCTGCTGCACCTGCCGTGCTTTCCATAGTGTCTCTACTCAGCTGATTGTTATGTCTCACTACATTGTTTGCTGGGTGAAAGATTTGTGCTTTGTTGGAGGTTGCTGAAGTACCTCTGTTTTTGATACAGAGTTATCATTAGATCTCATTCTGGGGGTTTGTCTCATTGTCGTGATAGAGAGAATGTAAACGTGTAACGTCTCTGTCACAATTTTGTTAGTGATTTTTTTGATTTTTTTCAGTACCAAATTCAAAGGTTCTTGGCTGACGAAGGGCAGATTGCTGACTTTGGGTCAGGAATGAGTTGCTGCCTGAAGTTGATGAGTTAAAGTATCAGGGTTAAGCCGGGGAAGAGTGAAGTGGGAGATTAATTGCAGTGCACTGTTCTGATTAGTTGTGGTAATTAGAGCTGAGCATGAAGAACAAGACGTCTACTTTCTGATCTTAACCTATCACCGTGAGCTGTGTTCTGTGACAAAAAAACCCAAGACACACTGAAAAGAATCAGTTTCTGTGCCGGCTTATAAAAAATTCAGTTTCCTGCTGGAATAGTTGGAGGTGGTGGCTGGGAAGAGTGTGGTCTGGACACTTCAGCTTAACTCCTAGATCCTGATGAGTGGCACAGTAGACGTTGGATGGATGGAGCAAGGGCAGTGGTCACACATAAACAAAAAAAAAATAATTAAAAAGTCTATTGGTGGAAAACAACTAGTTTTGATTGGCTGGAAATAAAAAAATCTTCTCTTTTTCTAGAGTATTTTAAAATCTCTTAATCAGGGTTCAAAATTCTACCATGTGCTTCTTATCATTAAGTTAAAGGTTGTTTCATTTTGGCTGCACAGTTGAGAAACTGTTACTGGCAGTTCAGGAATGTGTGGTTATATTTGTAAAGTTGCAGCCTGGAGTTATTCCCGTGCGGACACGTCATTTCAGATGTTTTCGTCATTGTTTGTCACCCAGTCTGCATCCAACAAATCACTGCAGATGTAGGACAAGAGCAGACCTGACAAGTGTTCAGCTGCCGTGTGTGTATGTAGTCACGAATGGAAGATGTGTTGGTCTCTCCGTCTGGCCCTTGAACTGGCCTGGCTTTGCCTGCCCCTCTGGATCAGTCCCTTTCCTCGTTTAATTGGCTTTCCTATTGTTGAACATTCTTGTCATGCTCCTGCCCTTTTCTTCCTGCGTCTTTGTTCCCTTTCTCTTCTCACTTTTCCTCTCTGTTTCACCTATTTTCATATGATGAATGGGTCTGGGCCTCCTGCGAGGCTGCCGGTACTGAACCAGATCAGCCTGTGGTGATTGGTTAATCCCATGATGAAATGTGGGTCACTGATGTCTATTTTTAGTCACGCTGGCAGAGGGAAAGCCCAGGTATGGTAATAGGCATCCAGCAAAAATCCAGCTCCAAATTTTAGGAGCAGTGAGCCGACTGAGGGGAATGTCGGCAGGTTTGCTTTATTTTAAGTTTTGCTGATTTAACAGTTCAATGATTTTTGTCTATGAGACCAAGAAGAAAAGTGGAAACACGTCAGTGGACATCTGTTTTTCCTTTTCTGTTTTGGGGGTATGTGATGATAGAGTTCTTGATGGAGTAATTTATGCGGTGTGAGATTCAGGTGCTCGAGGCAAAGGCAACGAGCGATGAGTGTACAACAGCCATGAGGCTTGAGAAGCTGTGATTCATGTTTCCCCCTGGGTGTTGTCGAAGTACACTGTGGTTAGAGAGGCAGTCTTCCTTACAGCTAATGCCTATCGATTCACTTCCTCACAAACACGCACACGGCATGCTTGGCTTGACTTAGAGAGCGAGCAGACAAGAATCAGATGCTCTGTACTCGGCTCAGCATGGGTCAGCGGGTCAGTGGTTGTAGGTTTTCTCATTCAGACACTGGAACATTTCAAAATTAAAGCTGCCCTCACTTATCTTCTGTGCTGTTGTACATCTGTCTTAATCTGAGCAGCAGCAGTTTAACATTGGCTGTAATAGTAGACTAAGCAGGGGAAGTTCATATAGCACATTTTTCCATACTTTAGGGGGAAAACTGATGACGTGTGATGTAAAGCCCCTGTCCAGGTACACCGGTTGTCAGTCTCTGCTGATATCTGCCAGTGCAAAGACAAAATAATGACTTTAGCTAACTTTAGATCTCAGCTG